AGGGCACCAGGACCCGCCCACTGCCCTTCTCCCCCCTTTTGGTTTGGAGCCTGCGCTGGGGACTGGGGATCCCGACTCAAAACAGCCTCTGGGCCACAGTGAACCATGGTGACAGGGCCGAGGCGGCCTGCTCTTCCCTAGCCAGTGTCACCACAGGCAGGGGACAGCTCTTCCAAAAAGTCAGAGACACTGAAAATGTGGATTTCAAAATAAGAGCCCCTGGCCTTTAAATGACAGCAATTGGGACTTTTAAACATTCGCGCCACCGAGAGCCCCGCACCCCTCAGGCGCACTCGGCCCACTGAGGCCACTTCGTGACCTCTGGTTTGTCCCTTAGACTGTCCCGTGTCCTCGATCCCAGTGCTTGTCACTTTGTGTTGTAAGAGCCAGTTTTGTGTGGCTCTCTCTGTCACCCAGGATGTCTGTGGGCAGGGACAGGGTCGGCCTCTCCCTGCAGCCCCCTGGCCCCAGCCCCTGGCCTGGCCCAGAGCACACCTGGCTGAGGTGGGGGAGGAGGGGCGCGGGAGGCTGAGCTCGTGGGGTCTCTGGGGTGATGGGATCCTCCCTCCCGCGGGGTAACTCAGGGGGTTCAACAGTCCCCGCTCCACCACTGACAAGTGGTGTGAATTTTTTAAGCTGTGTGGCTTTTGACAAGCAGCTCCACCTCTCTGAGCCTGCCAATGCATGTGAGGTACAAAGGCCCAGCCGGCCTCCCACGGGGAGCCCCTCCCCACACGACCTCAGGTACTGATGGACAGGAAAACGCCCCCATGCTCATCCGTCCTGGGATCGGGCTGGGCCCTGGCCTCTGGACACAGAAGGGGAAACAGGCTCCTAGACAAGAAGAGGGTCTCCAAGTCCCAGCCTCCTCCCAAGGCTGGCGGAGGCTCCGAGTTCTGAAGTCCCTGGGGCCGCCCCACCCAGGCTCAGCAGAGTCCAGAGGGTGGACTCTCTTTCCTTCCAACCCGATTCCCAGACACGGCCCTCTCCAGCTGGCCGCGAGCCCCTCTGGCATGGACCGGCGGCTGCCCAGCCCTGCACAGGGTGGACGCGGTCTGTGAGCACCCACGGGGGAGGGCAGGTCGGGCCTTCTGGTCTACCTGGGGCAGGTCACCACCCCTCCCCCTCGTCTGTCTCCTGGGGACCCCTTGTTTCTGGGCCCTTTGTCTCTTTTTCAAATTTGGGATTGGGTGGAGCGTTCCTGCCCCCTCCCCTGAGAGTCACTGATGACTGGCCTTCCTCCGTGTTGGGCACCGGGTCTCAGAGCCAAGTGACACACGGTCTGCCCTCTGGGTGCTCAGGTGGCATGAGGGGGACGGACACACACCTGCAGCTCCTACCAAGGCCGGGAGCCCGTCGACGTGCCCCTGGGCATCAGCTCCTCGGATCTTGCGAAACCCAGGTCGGCGGAGGCCACATTTTACAGATGAGAAAACCGAGGCCCAGAGAGGTCCCGTCACCAGCCCAAGGTCTCACCGTGGGGCTCTGAGTCCAGGCAGACTCCCCCGAAGGTGGGGCTCGGATTCACGATGACATTCACAGACACAAGGGCCAGGGACCAGGACGCGTGGAGAAGGACACCCCCCCCCCCTCTTCAGGGGCTGGAGGGGGCGGGCGGCCATTCCCGGGCTTCTGAGCTGGACTTGCCAAGCAAGCCCCTGCCGCAGCCCCTGACCCACTAGTAGGTTCTGTTTTCTGCCTGGTGAGCGAGGCCGGGCCACCCGGGCACAGGGAGCGGGGTGCCAGGTGGACTCCTGGCAGCCTGCGGGGGTCTCAGGAGGTGCGGGGAGCCCAGCAATGCCGGGTGAGGGAGGCAGGTCCCATGGGCTGGTGACCCAGGGCCAGCGGCTCTGCTTCTGGGAACCAAGAGCCTTCACTGTAAGACGGAAACGCAGCGCAGCGCCCAGACCTCCTGGCTGCAGAGGGACCGCGGCTGGCGCAGGGCCGAGCGCATGGACCAGGGGCCTCGGTGTCCTTGGTGCCACGCAGACCCCAGGTCCCGGCCCAGAGCTGACCGGGGACCTCCCGGGGTGGGGCCGGCTGTCCATCGAGCCCTCTAACGAGTCCCCCCCGCCCCGTGGGACTCCGATGCTAACGGTGGCTGGAGTCTCTTGGCCCCAGCGCTGGGGTCTGCGACATCTTCCGGTTGTGTGCCCACCCGAGCTGCCAGCACGTTGGCCTCGATATTTATCTCAGAAGCACCGTCTGCTTCCGTTTTCATAAAGGAGGCCGCACGAGGGGCTCGGCTGGATTTGCTTTTGATCTAATAAAAATGCCAAGTTGCTCGGGGACCAGGAAAGACGTCCTCCAGGAAATTCCCTCTGCTATTTTGAGGGCCGCTGTGGCTGAGACCCGTCTAGACGGAGCTCCCAGAAGCCACCTCTGTGCCCGCCGAGTGACAGCCTCTCGCTGAGCCGGGCCTCCCAGACACACCTGGAGAAATCAGAGGCTCGTCTCTGGCATTGAACTTGACAGCCACAATCAGCTGCAAAACCCAGCCGCCCCGGAACGGAAGACGCAGACACCTGGCCCGGACGGCAGTGTCTCCTCATCAAATGTCACGTCTGATGTGCTGGTGAGCTAGCTGATGGCACTGGGAAGCCCCAAAGGCGGGTTTCAAAGGCAAAAATCTTTCCCCAGGAATAAAAAAAAAAAAAAATTAAAAAGGTGGCAGAATCCAGAATCCATATCACAGAAACCCAAGCGGGGAAGATGGGAAGGAATTTGGGGACAGAGAGGATAACCCAAAGCTTATGTAACCGTTTATGTCAGGGACGGTGCCTTCCACAGGAAGTGGCCTTTCGGCTGATGCTAAAGATGAGACAGCGTGAGCCATGCCAAGGGTTAGAGGGAGAGCATCCAGGGCAGAGAGGACAGGGAGTGCATGTTCCGGCTTTTGGCTGAGCAGCAGGACACAGAGGAGCTGGGAGGAGGTGAGGTCGGGGCTGTGAGCAGGGGCAGCCTCGGGCCAAGGACGGCTGGAAAATCTAGACACCCAGAGAGCCCAGCAGTGCCGCCTGGCCTCTTGGTGCTGGGTCCTCCACCTCCAGAAGAGGACCTGGGCTGGACCTGTGGTCAGATGAGCGGGCGGAGGTGCCGAGCACCGCCCAGCGCTCCAGGCGTGTTTAGGGACGCGGCTCTGAGCAGCTTCACCATCAAGCCCAGGGGTCAGCACTAAGCCATGGACCAGCCCCCAGTAAGGGTCCTCACTGCCGCCCACGGCTGTCCCCAGCCTCGCCCCGAGCTGCGTGGGCGCCGCCCTCCACGATGACTTCACGGCAGCGATGGCCGCGCAGCCGTGGCGGGGGCTCTCTGCCCACTGCAGACCTGGGGCCTCACCGGCGTCCAGGAGCCTGTCCTGCCTCCGTGTCCCCAGGACCCAGAGACGCCTCTCTGATAAACGGATGACCCCGCCAGGCAGCCCTGTTAGGGTGACGGGTCTGTCCCCTGCCGTGTGACGTGGGGTCCGCAGCCCTCCCTGGGCGAGGCCACCGGACGGAGGCACACGGGGCACCTCAGAAGCCAGGCTTGGGACCTCCTGGGGCAGCCGATGGCCCTCTGCCTCCCCCGGTGCCTCTGGCTCCTGGGGGACGGGACCCCCAGGCTGGACGCCGCCCCGTGGCCCACGCTGCACACCCACCGCCCGAGGCCCCGCTCTCCCGGGCTCCGCGGGTCACCAACGCCCTGACCACCCTGGGGAGTCCCGGGCAGGCCCTGGGCTCAGGCTCCCCTGCCCCTGCGGGCCTCGGGCTGAGCCGGCCAGCCCTGAGCCAGGAGCGTCAGCGGTCACACGCCTGGCCGACCCAGTGGCCCCTTAGTGACCCCAAGGAGCCCCTGCCACAGCTGGGGTGGCTCCACGCCTGTGCCCCGCGCCCTGTGCCCCGCTCCCTCCGCGGCCTCCCAGGTGGGGCCTGCGGGAGCCCAGGCCAACACCGTCGGAAACTCCCAGCAAAGCGCTCCTCGGTCACCCCTTCCCTCTCCACGGCCACCGCCAGGTCCCCCAGGAACGACGGCAACAGCAAAATGCCCGGCCAGGGTCCTCGGCCTGGCCCTCTCCCCAGTGGACGCTCCTCTCCGTCGCCCCAGGAGAAGGGCCACTCCATCCCCTGGCTCCCTCTGGCCCCTTCTCCCACGAAGCCCCCAGCCCGGCTCAGACGCCCGGCCCGACGCTGGGAGGGAGGCCCCGTGTCCAGTCAGGGCCACCCCTGGCCCCAGGCCTGTTTCGGCCACTTCCTGGGGCCAGTGCGTCCCCCGTCGACTCCTCCTTCTGGCCGCTCAGGCAGCGGGTGGTGGCCAGGTGCAGAGTGTGGGAGCTGCCCGTCTCTCCAGGACCCCCCTGGACTCGGGCCACCCCGGGTCAATCCTGGCTTTCTTGGATCCCCAGAAGCAGGGGAGAAGACGTCAGGGGCAGGTGACACATACCAGGAGCCCAGGCAGCACGGGACGTGGCCCGGGGAGGCTAGGGACAGGAGGGCTGCTCAGGCGGAGGGCCAGACTCCTCCTCCTGCAGACACCCCAGGCCTCGGGGCCCACCCAGTGGTGAGGGAGGGGCACGTCCAGCCTGCAGTGTGTGAGGTGGGGAGCCCCCAAGTCAGGGACCTGTACAGATGGAACTCACGGGGGCACCCTCAGAGATCCGAGGCTATGGGCAGGGCACTGACTAACCGAGCTATGTGGCCTCGAGCGAATCACCCCACCTCTCTGGTCTTACAGTCCGTATCTGCTGAGTGGCACTGGTTTTCCTAACAGATGCCCCAATTCTTCTTCTGGGGTCCCCCCACAGGGAAGCACACGAAGCCCATGCACTGTGACCTTTAAGAGCATCCCGATGCAGGCAGACCCGTCCACGTCACCTCCCTGACCTGGCCGTGCTCCCCAGGACTGCGCGCCCCACCCCACGGCCACGCCAGGCCTGGGAGAGCTGTGATGTGCCACCTGCCCTGGTGGCACTCGGCTCCCCGCCTCCTTTCTTAGCACCCCAACTCCACTGGGGGGCAGGGACACAGGCACTGTGCAGAAATGGCCTGTCACCCTGGACGCCGGCCGCAGTGTCCCCGTGGGCCTGCCACCTTGGACGCCAGGTGCACTGTCCCCATGGGCCTGTCACCCTGGACGCCGGCCGCAGTGTCCCCATGGGTCTGCCACCCTGGATGCCAGGTGCACTGTCCCCATGGGCCTGTCACCCTGGACGCCAGCCGCAGTGTCCCCCTCTGTACCAGGCCCCGGGAGCAGCAGGCCCTAGGGCAGCCGGCTGGGCTGGTTCCAGGGCTCCTGGTCCTCGGGCGGCAGGTGCCTGTGCAGGAGGTACTTACGGGCGGGGTACCTCTCGTGGTGACAGTCCAAGCGGAAGTCCTCCTCCTCGCTCCCGTCCCCCTTCTCCATCCTGGAAAGAGGAGGAGGGAGTAAGAGGCTGGGTCAGCGGGAGCAGGGGCGAGGCCACAGGCCCCCTTTTGGAGAACATTCTGGAAGCACTTTCCCACCGCCGCCCTCGGCCCCCTGCAGCGGTGTCCCCGCTGGCATTTCATTGAGGCACCTGGAGGGGCTGGAGGCAGGACGGGGGTCCCCACCGCTCTTACAGATGGAAGGTCCCAACTGCACCCCAATAACCGTGTGCGCCACCATAGGCACATGACAAACAGCAGCATGTGACAGGAGACCTGCTGTTTGCTGTCAAAACTCTGCACAGAGGGCCACACCACAGCAGGGGACAGTGGCTCTGTACCGCTGTGTAATATCAACTAAGTGAAAACCCTTCCCAGAGCAAGTTCCACTCTCTGTCCCCACTCTCCCTCCTTCCTCTTCCTCTCTCCCCGCAGGCTGCGGGTGGAGCCCAGGCCCTGCGCTCGCTGGGGGGACCCTCGACCCCGAGCCGCCCCTGCCGCCCAGGCTGCCCCCGGGGTCTCCTCCGGGCGTCAAGGCTACTGAGGCTCACGGCCTCCCCAGGAGCGCAGCGCAGCGCCAGCAGGAGCTGCGGCTGACGGGCAGCCTGGGAGCCCGGGAGTCACCTGCGCCCCCGCGGGCAGTGGGCGTGGCCATCTCGTCACTCCTCCTTCACCCCAATAGATGCCCCCTCCTCGGGGTCCAGCGGAGGAACGACCCCAGTCACCTCCGCGCCTCCCCCAGGAACGTCGGGGTCTCCCAGCAGCGCCCCTGCCCCTCTTCCCTGCCCACCTTTGCCTTTGACCTTGCAGCTGCCCAGAGGACTCTCGCCTCCCGCCTCTCGGCGCACCCCGGCCCCTCGCTTCTCACCTCCCCTTCTCTCCACCGCTCCCTTCTCTCTCCTGCCTGGAAGTCACCTCCCTTTCCACAGCAGAGCCCGGCTCTGTCTCCAGTCTCCCCTTCACCTCCTGCTGGAGGAGCCAGGAATGCGGAAGTGCCCGAAGCAGGAGGGAAGCGCACACACCCTGGGCATGTGGTCCTCTGAGACCCTCGGCTCCCCTGGCTCCTTCTCCAGGACCTGCTCTGTGGGGAGGGACAGGCCTGCTCTACAGCCTCTGCCCTGGCCGGGAGGCGGCCTGCACACGAGGTAGAGCATGGTGGACTCCGAATCACAGCACACCAGCCGTCCACTCTGCCTACTCCCGGGGTCAGGGCCTGACTTTCCTGAGGACAGTAGGAACACGGTTCCTGCTCTGTGGCCCCCGTGGTCCCAGATGGCAGAACGCCTTTGTTGATGCTGTAGGAAAACAATTTCAGTTCGGCGGAAAGTGGTTGTCCTCTATTTTCTATTTCATTTCTTTTTCTTGGAGTGGGAGCGTGCTTGTTATTTCCGGGTATTGCAAGCTTGGGGAAAAGCGCTCCTGCAGCCCAGGGAGAGCAGAGTCCTCCTCCCGTCATGCTCTGGCGGGTGGGGCCGGGCGCTGTGGCCCTGGGACACTGTGGCGCTTGTCTTTGGAGAATGCATACATTTGTTTTCACCCTCTGAACCTCAAACTCGACACTCTGCCGTGCGCCCTGTGTTCTGTTTACCCTGAGACGCCCACCAACTTGGGGATCTGCACGATAGGTCCCCCTCGTCTCTTCTCCCCAAAGCGGCAAATGAAAAAGTAATTGACGATTCAAAATCCCACTGGCATGGTGTGTGTGTGTGTGTGTGTGTGTGTGTGTGTGTGTGTCCAGGTGCTGCATCCCCGTTGCCACCAGAGCTGCCCATCGTGAAGCTGCAGCTGGGTCAGACACTGGGCGGGAGGCTGGACCAGGGGACAGCTGCACCCTCACTGGGGGCCACCTGAGGGCCATGTCTGGCGCCCCTGGCCGTGGACAGCGCTTTCCCAGCCTCCGCTTCTCGGTCTCAACCTGAGCGCTCCAGGTCTCCATGTGGGCCTCCCCCTGGGTTCCGCCTGGAGCCTCGGCCCAGGAGGAGGGACCCAGAGCCCAGGGGCGGATGCTCAGGAGGTCCCTTCCCTCCCTGGACGTCCCCATCTGGCTGCCGAGAAGCCCCAAGTTCAGTGGTATCCAGCCCCTGATCTGGAGAAGGGGCTGGTTTCACACTTGGCACCGGCATGACGCGCGCAGGGTCACGGCCACGCGCCCTGCCTGCATGGCTGGCGGCCAGGGTACTCAAGGCCTCGCACAGACCCAGGCCTCCCTGCTTCACTCCCACAGCGAAAACCCAGGTCCCGCGTCTGCGGGGCTTGGTAGCCATCCGGTACTGGGCAGGGGCGTCCACGGGCGGAGTGTCCAACGGCAGGGTTTCCTATGGGAATCCACGGGGGCCAAGGGGAGGCTTTGGCCACCGGCAGACCCTGGGCCCTGAGGAATGGAGAGCTGTGACTGAGTTCAGCTCTGTCAGCCACTGCCAGCGTCACTATGGGTCACCTGGCCACTCCGAATCTGTTTTCTCTTCTTCCTCTCTTTTTGGTACTGCTGGTTTAGCCCAGGGCCACTTGACCTCTGAGCCACATCCCCAGTCCTTTTTAGTTTTTTATTTTGAGGCAGTCTTGCTAAGTTACTGAGGAGAATTCAGACATTTGTTTTCACCCTCACTAACTTGCTGAGGCTGGCCTCCAACTTGTGGTCCTCCTGCCTCAGCCTCCTGAGAGCTGCACCAGGCACCTGGCTTGAATCTCGGTTTTCTGATGCGCTCCCTGAGCGCTGGACATCACGTCATGACCACCAGTGCCACCAGCTGGTTGTGCAGAGGACCGAGACCCGGGGGACAGATGAAGGGCTCCACGCGTTACCTGCTAAAGGACTTTTAAGCTGGGTCCTTCCCGACACCTTTTCAAATCGGGGAGAAAGATGGAGTTTGTCCGTCTCTAGGGTCTGACATGACGCTCGGCACAAAGTGCCTCAAGTGAAGCACCGAAGACGGAGTCTCCCCCAAACGGGGCACAAGATTAGAGCAGAAGCCAAGGGTGGTGCCAGGAGGCGAAGGAGCCCAGGAGAAGGTGACACTGGCGGTACCTGCTGGGACGCCAACGGCGCGTCCCGTTTACAGATGTGGAGACTGAGGCTCGGGTTTGTGGCTCACTGGGGTTTAGTGGTGCGCTGGCGACACCCGGCTCTCTGACACAGAAAGGAGCCCTGATGACCGGTGTTCCTGGACTCCCTCCCTGGGTGGCCTGCAGCTGTCCCCTTGATGTCCCTGGGCACGGGGCGGGGAGGTGGCCGGGGCTGGCTCTCTCCCTGCAGCTGGCTAGTGGCCGGGCCGGGATTTGAACTCGGGTCTACGGGTCCTGGAGTGTGTGGCTTGGTGCCGTGGACTTCCCGGTAGTTCCCAGTCGGCCCGCACTGGACACGCCCGTGTCGTGAGGTCCCTGTGGGGCTGAGGGTGGCTCATCCCTGGCTCTCAGAACCACAGCAGAGGTGCCATAGCTGTCCCCTGTCACCCACAGCAGCCTGGAACAGGGCTGAGGCCCAGCGTCTGGGGACATGGAGCGGGGGCCTCCGTGGGGACCCCAGCCGGAGTCCTGGCTTCCTGGGAGCTCCACAGAACTGCCCCTCACCCAGGGCCTGGGGTGGCAGGCCGCCCGGGACCCCACAGGGGACCCCGAGGCTTTACCTCCCAGTGGGGAGGCCCACAGCGCCTTGTCCCTGTGTGTCCCCACCACTGCCCGGCAGCGGACCCATCTGAACCTCCTGGGAGGCAGGCTCCCTCCGTTTCCCAAGATTCCCACCTGCCAGGAAGCATGCTCTGGACTCTGTGCTCCCAAACCTCCTGCAATAACAGGCCAGGGCCCCCCCCACCCCGTTAATTTCCAATCCACCTGGAATCAATTTGGGTGGGAGGTTTGGGCCACAGGAATTGAACCCAGAGATGCTCCACCCACGAGCTATACCCCCAGCCCTTTCACATTTTTGACACAGGGTCTCCCTAAATTGCCTGGACTGGCCTCTGACTTGTGATCCTCCTGCCTCAGCCTCCCGAGTAGCTGGGATTCCAAGCGGGCACCACCACACCTGGCTCTGATTCTTTTACGATAAATGAAAATGAGATGGAAAAGGTAACCCACACGTGCAAAAGGCAGACCGAGTGTCCCGGCTGAGTCAGCGGGCGAAGAGCGTGTCCACCTGTCTGTCCGTTTCTGTCCCCACGCCCTGGAGGATGTTTGCCGGTGGTCCAGGGACCGCACTGTGAGGAGCTCTGGTCTGCAGGGGCCTCCTCTGTCCTCGGGTTTCTGCTGGTCACATCCACCTCCTGACCCCCTGACGGGGCAGCACCCCCAGTGCCCTCCAGCCCAGGGCTTCCCCGGGTTCAAGGTGCCCAAAGATCACCCGAGGCTTCTGGGCGGCAGGCCTAGGGCAGGGCCGGGATTCTGTTCCAACAGGTGCCCAGGTGAGGCCCGGGCTGCTGGCCCCGCGTCTCCTCCCACAGTCCCCCGTCACACGGGGGCATCACCCACAGGACGGAGGTCTGAGCGGGAGACCTCCCAGAGATCCTCCCAGAGACCCTCCCAGAGACTCCCTCCCAGAGACCCTCCTGCCCCCCCACTGGGAGGAGGCTGCAGAAACAGTCACCGAGGACAAGGGACACGCTGATCTGGCAATGGCCAGTTTGCAATGGAATGAAGAGGACTCTGGCAAGTAAGTGACCCCAGGTGGCAAACCAAGACGCCACAGAGCCCTCCAAAGGGCCACTCGGAGGTGGGGGACACGTGGGTTTTAAAACGATTCGTTCCTTTGCCTTTTCCTGCGTGTGTGCTTGTGTGCGTGTGTGTGCGTATGTGTGTGTGTGTGTGTGTGTGAGAGATATGGCGGTGCATAGCATTTGGAGAAGAACAGAGAAGGACATAAAGTCGTGCCCAGCGTCCACGCCCTGGCCGATCTCTGTGACGGTCTACAGTCTGTCCCCCTCCAGCACTACTGGGCTTAAAGAGATCTGTGCCCAGCGCAGTGGCCCACGCCTGGGATCCCAGCCGCTCGGGAGGCTGAGGCAGGAGGATCGCAGGTTCACAGACAGCCTCAGCAACTCAGCGAGACCCTGTCTCTAAATAAAATATAAAAAAGGGCTGGGGGTGGGGCTCGGTGGTTAAGCCCCCCTGGGCTCAAGCCCCAGCACCAGAGGGGGTGGGGAGACCCATAAACGCAAACGCCCTGATGATGGTGGCCAGGACGTGGGGACCTGGAGACACGCACCCTCCAGCCCCAGCCCCTCTGACAACCTGAAAGGGCTCCCCCAGATGCCAGGGCACCACCAACACCGTGAAGCCCCCTCCCCAGCCCAGACTGGACACCAGGAAGCAGTGGGGTGGGCAGTCACCGAGGGAGGCGGGGGACAGCAGGGTGGTGACCCTGCTCAACTTGACCATAGAACAGTCGGGGAAATGCTGGGGACAGCTCCAGCAGGAGAGGACGGGTCAGAGCCACCGAGGCAGGAGGATGATGGGGCTGGGTGACTGCAGAGGCCCGGGGTCGCTGGGTACAGGGGCGGGGTCTGGGGAACCCCGAGGCTGGAGAGTCCGACCAGGAGCTGGGCGTCTGTCCCCAAGGCCGTGAGAAAGGACTCGGGTGTCTGAGACAGGAGGAGGGTCAGGGCGACCCTGGCCATGAGCACAGGAGGGACGTGGGGGGCGAGGACCAGGACAGAGACCCCAGGGCCACGCAGGAGCTGCTGGGTTCAGAGTGGCCGCAGGAGCAGGCAGAGGTGACCTGCCGACGTCCCTCCTCCCTGTGGGAAGACAGTCCAGGACCCCCCACGGATGCCGGGGGCCGCGGACAGGGAGAACCCTCTAGAAGGACCCCCTGATTTCTCCCAGGATCAACTTTAGTGTATCAACGAGACACAACCAGAGAGTCACGACGGAGCCACTCCCAGACAGGACAGGGACAACAGGTTGCCACCAGCCGTCGGAAACCTGAGAATTGCTTATTTCTAGAATTTTCCTTCATCCTGTCCGACGCTGGTCGGCGGCGGGTCCCTGAGACTTTGCAAAGTGAGACCAGGGTTAAGGGGGACCAGGGTGACTGGGGAGAAGGCACCCTGTCCCCAGGGAAGAATGGTGTGGGGGTGAAGAAAGTGGCCCAGGGGGACATGCAGCCCCCGGCTCCTGCAGATTGGCGGGCCACTGAGAGGTGGAGATGAGGCGGGTGGCAGGGGGTCAGTGCCAGGAATGGACTGTCCCCCTGAGGTGACCTTGTGCACGGACCCGGGAGGGGGCCGTGGGGCCCGGGAAGAGCCATCGGAGGCTGCGTGTCACTGCTGAGAGCCGTTTGGTGGCGCGAGGGGGTGGACGCCAGATTGGAGCGTGTGGCGTGGTGAGTGGGAGGTGAGGACGGGGAGACAAGCCATCAAAGTCCCCACGGGCCTGGGAGTGCGGCGGGTGGGCGGGGCCACGTGCTGCGGGTGGGCGGGGCCACCTGCTGGAGCCCGGTCGCCCCTGCGCCGTGTGCAGAGGCCAAGGCTCGGCTGGCCCTGGTCAATACCAGCACCGAGGGACAGGGCACCGGGCAGTTTCTGTCCTGTCTGCAGATTCAGCCCGTAATAGTGAAATAGCAGCCACCACCCAAGTGCAGTGGGAGGATAAGAGAAGGAACAGGCCTGAGCTCCCCGCCCACCCACACCTGGCTCTCAAGTCCCACCCAACCGCGGAGACTCTCCTGAACGCTCTTGGTTTATTTGCCCCCTTTGTCCTTCGCTCATGTCATTCCCCTCGTCTAAAGTGCCCGGCTTCCCTCACCACGGGTCTGTCTGGTGAAGGATTCGCGGGTTTTGAAAATCGTGGCTCAAGGATCTCTGGCATGAAGCATTTCCTAGCCTCGATCTCCCACCAGGATGGGACTGAGCCCTGGAGCTTGGAGTCATCTCCAGGACATCTCCTAAGGGCACCCATCAAATCCCTCTGTGCTCACTGAGCTGTGGACAGGGGACTGCAAACTCACACTTCAGCCATTCAGGAGCAGGAAGCCAGCGTGGCCAGATCCTCTGCTTTCTTATGAGAAGCCAAAACCCTTAATTTGGGGGTGGGGGGTCGGGGTACCAAGACTTACACTCAGGCCCCATCCCCAGCCCTATTTTGTATTTTATTTAGAGTCAGGGTCTCACGGAGTTGCTTAGGGCCTCACTGTTGCTGAGGCTGGCTTTGAACTCGCCATCCTCCTGCCTCAGCCTCCCGAGCCACTGGGATGACAGGCGTGCGCCACCGTGCCCAGCTCAAACCCTTAGTTTTTAATATGAAATCTCCTGATTTTAAAACTTAGCCACAATTTAAGCATTTGAAATCCACCAGAGTGAGTAAAGGAACTAGGCTTCAGGCAGGATCGGCCAAGGGCTACTGGTCTGCGCCACCCCACGGCCCCTTTCTCGGACAGGGAGGGTCTGATGTGTCCAGAGTGAAATCCCGCGGTCAGGGAGGAGGAGCCCCTGGCTCTGCGCCAGACGTCCCATCTCCTGTCTGGGGACCCTGACCACCAGGCTGGCCGCTGCGCATCAGCCCATTTCCAGGTAGAACGACTCCCAAGGTGGGGGGGGGGGCGGGAGGCTGGACCCTGCTGGTGACCGCGGACTGGAGTCCACCTCGGGTCTGTTTCTTGGTGTTTTCCACGTGGACTGGGGGCAGATGGCGGGCAGGGACTTGGGCGGTGCCTGCAGTGGGCCAAGGTCACTGAGGTCCCCTGGCTCTGGGCACTGGAGATGGGGGGGGCAAGAAAGACCAGCCCCTGCCCGGGACCCCCCAGGAAGGAGGCAGATGGAAACAGAGGGACAAGGAGTCAGGACGGCGCAGGAGGGGGCGGGGCGGGGGGCGGGGCCGGGGCGCGGCTGCCCCCAGGTCCACGGGCCCTGCTCCCAGGCCAGGCCTGAGGGGTGCCGCCCCGTCTCCCAGAGCCGCTGGGCCACGGAGGACACGGGGCCATGGCAGCCAGCTCTGCAGACCTCGCACCCAGCTTCCCGCCGGAGGCCCTGCCAAGAGGGCGGCTTGGGGACAGCAGGCAGGGTGACAGGAGGACAGTTCAATTCCACATGTTTCTCAGAGCCGAGACTGGCCGTCCCTGCCCCAGGGCCAGCGCATGCCCACGGTCCCCCATGTGTGCACGTGAGCTCACACACACACACTCACACACACAAATACACAGACACCCCCACAGACACACACACACTTGCACACACACACAAACACACGCACATGCGCGCGCCCACACGCCTTTCTTCCACACGCCTTTCTTCCACACGCCTTTCTTCCACACGCCAGCGAAGTTTCAAAGCCGCTGACCCATCAGAGTCTGCCAAGCCCCAAGTGCCCACCGCAGGCCCTGACCCAACAGCTTTGGGTGGCAAAGGGCTGGGCTGGGAAGGGGCAGCTCATCCTCTGTCCATCAGTCCCCAAAGGCCACCACCTTGTCCCCTGTCCCCAGGAGGACAGCAAGAGAGTCCTGGCTGGGGTGGGGTCACGTGTTCCCCCCTGCTGTGGGGACTGGGGGCGCCAGGGAGGTCACCCCCAGCACACGGCAGCCCAGCCCCTCCGCCCTGGCTATAAGGCCGCAGCCGCTCAGGTGAGCCCAGGTCCCCTCAGTGCTGGACAGATGCCCGTGACCAGTGTCGAGTGCTGCACAGCGAGGTCGATGACCATGGCCTGGGGCCAGACCCCAGCTCTGCTACTTACCAGCTGAGTGACCTTGGATAAGTCATGTCACCTCTCTGGGCCTCGATTTTGCATCTGTAAAATGGGGACAATGACAACATCTCACAGTTGTGCTATGGAAACGAGCAAAGTCCCATCTCAGGCATTTGGAGACGCACCAGGCGCGGGTTGGCGGGGCAGCAGGGCTGTTAGCAGCACCTCAGAGCCTCTGCGGCTCCCGCTGCATCCGGCCGATGGCTGCCCAGCTCCTGCTTCACCCAGGCCAGCCAGGCATGAGTAGAAGAGGGACAGGGTCAGTCTGTCTGTCTGTCTGTCTATCTCTCTGTCTCTCGCACACACACGTTCTAGGCACTCTGTCCTGCGTGTCACAGAGGTATCAAATACGAGCCTTCCTGGGACACTGAAGTTCTGCAATCTCCTGTCATGGGCCACAAGAAACAGGCCCAGAGAGGCTCAGCACCTTACTCCAAGTCACACAGCCACAGCCAAGGCAGAGAACCAGAAAACACACTCCAGGAGGGGCCTCCAGAGCCCGGCTCTTTCCACAGCACCTCTGTCCCCCAAGGAGCAGGAGATCCCCTCCCCCCTGCGCCTGGATGTGGCTGCAGGGAGGCCATCCACGGCAGCCCTTCAGCCTGCTGGGTAGCCCCTGCCAACTGCACAGAGACCTGTGCACGCAGAGCATTTTGCAGGGAAGGAGGCAAAAAAAAAAAAAAAAAAGAGAAAGAAATAAAGAAAGAAAAAAATAGAACAGCCCAGCTAAGCTGAAACGTTCTCCTCAGAGGGGAAGGGAAATAAAATTTGATGAACCTCTGCATAATGTTCACGTTATGAATGTGCAAAGGCTCCTCTGCACATATGCTGAGCAGCTCCCAGCCTGGGCCTGAGCCGCTGGGGCCGCCAGATCTGGGGCACCACAGAGCCGCAGCGCCTGCTGCTGGGGTGCACACGGCTCCCGGGTGCTCCCCCAGCAGGACCAGTGCCACTGCCCTCAGGCAAGCCAGGGGGTGCGCTGCCCACCGCCCAGGGGACAACAGGCCGCGGCCCCCGCGGGACTCCTGCAGACGTGGGCTTATTCACCGAGGCTGGCCCCGGGAGGTCCGTGGCTTGGCCAGGGTGAGCCTGGGGGCCGGCCTAACCTGACCTGGGACTGAAGTCCTGGCATCTTCCTGCTGGGACCCCAGCACAGGGCCTCACTGAACCGGGGACAGCTGAGCTGAGGCCCAGGAGCGTCCAAGCAGAGGCCAAGCAGGTGAAAGGCCCGGAGGCAGGACGAGCTGGGTGCACCCCAGGGACAGAAGGGGGCCCCTGGGGCAGGGGAAAGAAACCCATGGTCCCAGAAAGGTCTAGAACAGTCAGAGAGGGCTTCTGTGGGCCTGCCGCGGCCCCCACGCCTCCGTGGGAAACTCCCACGAGCCTCGCGGAGGGAACAGAGCCCCCCGTGCCCCAGCCTCCTCTCCTCTCCTCCTGCTCGACTCCGGCTGGCTGGTCCCTGAGGTCCTGCTTAGTCCCCTCTCCTCCGGCTGCCCTAGAAGTAGACCCTGGGGTAGGGATCTGGAGACAGGGAGCTCACGTGGGAGGTGTCCCAGGAAGCACAGGGGGGAGAGACGGGGCGATGGGGAAGGGCAGGGGACAGTAAAGACTGAGTTCAGAGCCAGGCTCTTGCTCTGGGCAACTGCAGCTCAGTCCCAGTGGGGACCTCTGGGGGGGGAGAGTGCAGAGCTGCCTCCCCCCCGGGGTGGGAGGTTGGGGGCTTCACCCAGCAGTTCCCACCAGCCTCCGGGAGCACCCACCTCCCGAGCCCCACACATTGGACAAAAGCTCATCCCGGGTGCGGGAGCCCATGGGTGAGGGTCCTGCCTGCCACCCACCAGCACCTGCAGAGATGTCCAATGTGTGGACACAAAAGTGGCAACCTGGGTGGGCCCTGGCTCTGGCTCCTCTGCCCTGGGGACACGGCCAGCTCTGAATTTCTTTGATCTTGGAGAGAGACAGAGGAGAGACCTGGCACCCCAACCCCTTCCCATCCCTGTGCAACCTGAAGTAAGAGTCTTCACTTCTCTGAGCCTCAGTTTTCCTCAGCTGTCAATAAGCCCAGTCAGTGCCCACTGCACGGGGAGGTCACAGGATGACAGGTGACGCCCGGGGCCTGGCGCAGGCAGGCGGGATGCAGGCTGCGGCTCAGGACTAGGCTCTGAGCTGTGCTGTCTCAGGGGAAGACGAGACTCATGGGGCTGGCGTGCGGCTCACGGAGGCCCTGGGCTCTGTCCCCAGCACTGGGAGCTCGGCTCCTCCTGGACCTACAGGCCAGGCCGAGCGCGTCAGGACCAGGCAGGACAGGCCGTGTGCCAGGACGTGGGTCGAGCGGCTCTGTCACGGCCTCTGATGGAGGGGACGGGGTGGGGGCAGACAGAACCCTAAGAGTGGCCCAGGCTGAGGCCGGGGGCTGTGCTCTGGGGGTGCAGAGTGAGCCAGGGAAGGGGCTGGGCAGCTGGAGGGGTGCAGTGGCACTGGGCAAGGAGTGGCCATGGCAGCTGTCCCGGGGGCCAGGAGGGAGCAGAGGAGAGTGAGGGGGTGGCCCCAGGTTCTGAAACCCTGACGTCCCCCGTCTGCCTGTCTGTCCTCCCCTCACCCCTCCCTCATCCTCGGCCTGGCTCCTCGTCCCCCATCCAACCACCCGTCCATCCGTCCACCACCCACCCCCTCACCTCCCGGCCACCCCGCACACCTCCTCACACCTGCTCACCCCCAGCCCGTCCGCCGCCCCCCGTCCACTCCCCGACTTAACTGACCACTCGGCCGCCCACCCACCAGTCCACCCGTCTCACCACCCTCTACCGTCACCTCTGGCCCCGTCTGGCTTCTGAAGGCTGGTGACCAGACGCAGTCCCTGACCTTCAGGGCCATCCCCCTGTGGCCAGGACAGAGCCCGGGAAGGAATCGTGGTTGGGCCCTGGGATTAAGCAGCGAGTGCTCCAACTGGCCCGCCTCGCGGCTTCCCACGGCCTGGTCACTTCAGCCCCAGGTGACTCTGCGGCCCACAGAGATTAAGCCGCTCAGGACTTCAACACAGTGGAATCCAGAAGGCCC